CCCCAGTGGAGATGCATCCCCAGTCTATGTGGATGTAAATGATTGGTTAAATAATATGTGAAATTAGATGACTTATTTAATTTCACCTATCATTTAATGCCATATTAATGCTATATAGACTGGGGCAATGGAGATGAATAGCATTTCTCAAAGCATAATAAATATAGGTGATCACATCATCAATACAAATCACAAAATAATTTATAATTTGATGAAGTTCCCAAATTAAATACACAAAATGACAAAATAAATCTCCTAAATGACATATCACAATTAGTAAATCACAAATATATTTCCAATTCCAAATCACTGATAATGAGATACAGTAACACAAACATTGAAGCAAAGCGAACCAGATCGACGGGAGGTAGATATGGCCGTGGTAACAGGGAAGCTAAACTGACCTTCGGGCTTTGGGTTAAGGTTTGAACTTTGAAAAATTAAGCAGTAGCGGATTGACGGACCAGCAACGGGAGTAATTAGCGACTTAGTAAGAAATATTAATGATGTATTTTGCAGAGCAGACATGCAATCAACACTCAGCAGTGGAAGTTTTGCAGAGGGTTACATTGCAAGTCCATAGGTGGCTGAATCGCAACAAGAGGTTGAATCGAAGGCTAGAACTTTTGCAGAAGGGTTTTTGAAATAGTAGTGAGGTAAATTCAATGTCCTCCCTGACATGGATAGTGTTTCGGCTGCTCCGCTCCGTGTTTGCTACCTACAAAATGAGATCGGGGCTCCCTCTCCCATTGTACCTTCGGCGTGAGAATTAGTATACGGTTTTGGAAAGTAGAAAGAAAATGTATTGGAATTCAAAATAGTTCGGGTTTCAAGAAGCAATAAATTTTCCCATTGTTCCGATTTAGTTGTTAATGAAGTATTTTGTTAAGCATTGTATTTTGTTGTTCTTTGATTTTAAGAGTTCACTGGTGCAGTCATTCTATGAGAATAATTGTTTACTTCCCTAGATTGTTCTGCCAGCCCTAATACCATTAAAAAAAAAAATGAGTTTTGACCTGTTCACTACAATTTACTTGATAAATTGTGCGTAGTGTTGTCTTCTTTCATAAGAATTTTGTGTTTTTCTGTTTGACAGGAAAGAACAAGGGGATTTGCTACAGTTGCAGACAACCAGGCACCAATTGTGGGTATACCCAAAAGAGCAACGATGTCCACACGGTCGGTTATTCTTTTATTGCACTAGAGATTGCAGGTTTTTTTAGTGGAGTAACGTCTCCTGACAAATGAAAACCATTAAAGGATGAGGTCAGTCCAGTGGTGTTTAATGACGAATGGAATGTGATTTAATTGAAGATATGTTGCGTTTTTTCACAAGTGTTGCTCAAATTACCGAAAAAAGGACTTTTAGATATCCATCAACATAACGATCCACACGGGCAAAAGAGACATAGAAGAGAGTGGGAAACGAAGGGAAAGAGAGTCGTGACAAAATTTCCACTACGTAATTGAGGAGAAGAATTAGCTTTAAATTTCATGCTTTTTTAGTAAGAAATAGACCTTTCATGGCTTATCTTTTGTCTCTCTTTGATGTTCGATGCTGTGATGTAATGGTGCCTATCAATAGTTTAATTAGTTTAAATATGTTGTGATGTTTGAAGTTTGCTTCTATTTGATGTTTCCTAAGAGTTTCTGTTTACATTTTAATTATGCCGGAACACTGTCTTCACAGTTACAATTTATGTTGGTTATTCATATCTGCCATTTATGTCGTAGAATTGGTAGTGGGCACTTAATTAAATGTTGGTTTTTCTGATCAGTTCCTCTGCATTTTCTAGACTAAGGTTTGAGGGATTTTGATTCTCTTCTTGAGATGGCTCCAACTTGATCATTTGAATGGCAGTAAATCCTGCATGTATTCTTCAAATGTTGCGGCATGTATTCTTCAAATGTTGCTGCCATGACATTGAAGGCAAAAGAGTAGGGATATTTGTTGGGGAAAAATCGCCTCGAACGCAGGAATTGAGATTAATGACAAATTGAAATTATAAAGATCACAAGAAAAAGAACAAGATTAAAGTAAAGAAAATAGAGGAGAAANATAAAACACGTGAAATAATGGAAATAATATTTTTCCAAATACGTGCAAAGAAGGAAAATTATATTCCCAAATATTCCAACATAATTTGGGTTTTTCACATATGGTAACCCTAATTTGGGTCACCAATTCCAACAATGGTATCAGAGCCAAGGTTGCAGGTTCTTTGTGATTTGATTGAGATTTTTCAGTAGAAAGCGTGGTGGTGATCGGGCTAAAAATCATTCGCGTTTGAGGTGCCTTGTGTCGAAAGTCTTCTTGACATTGGTGGTCAGGCGGCGGGTCCCGTTTGGTCGAGGGCGACAGTAATATTGGCGGTACAAGATGATTGGCGAATGGATTATCGTTTGAGGAGAGATCACAATGATGTGGTCCTTCGTTTGAGAGGAGGATTGTTGGGAGCAAACAAGAAATCCCACATCAGTTGGGAGAAGAAAAGAAATCCACCATATAACCCAAGTGAGCTACTCTACCCATTGCCAATTGGTTTTGGGATGGAACCTCACTTGGGCCTGGTGGCATGGGTTTGGGTGTTGGGTAATTGCTCCTAATAATCCCTAATAATATTAGACACGGTAGTTCTACCGCCATGGTATTTTGTAGGCCGCTGTAAAGGTTCCAGCCTAAATTTAAATCACAATGGCAGAATCTTTGTTGGCAAAATGAGCAACTAGAATATCCTTAAATAAATAATTAAATGTGTATAAAACATTCATTTCTGGACAAAACCCAGCAGAAAACGCAACTTCAACAAATGATCAGATTTATATTTGCCATTGTAATCTGCACATTAAAAATTTGTAATAATCTATTCGCTGCCTTAACAAAAACACCAGCAGTAATACCAGCAGCATGTTCATGCTGACTTCGAAAACTAGCACAAAAGCTACATCAAACTACAGCGAAAATACGAGCAACAAATAGCACATATTCACATTATATGCTGCACAAAAACCAGCACCAACACCAGCACATATTCAAATCAACCACTACACAAAAACTATCACCAACACCAACACATATTCACATCAACCACTACACAAAAACCAGTTGTTGCCTTAAAAAACTAAATGTCCTACCAGCGCGTCCCCTAGAAGTTGCTCTTGTTGCTCCACCTCTGGAAGGCTCATTCACGGGGACAGGTGTGGAGTAACCATCCATTTCTTGAAGTTGGATTTGCTTAGTCCACACTAGTGTGTGTAACGATGCTCCACCTTCAATAGAGAAAGTAGCAGCAGGCCCAGCACTCACAACAGAAACAGATTGCTGCTCGATGTCGAAAGTGGGCATGAACTGAAAACTGTGAACTTCCTCATGTGCTTTGCTCGAACCAACTCCATTCCCTCTGTCAGGAACCAGTTTTCCCTGTCCATGAAAATGAATAGAATACTTATAACTTGGTAAAAAATTACACACATGCCTAATATGGCTACAGAATACAAATTTCCATTATATCAAACTGCCAACAAAATACAAACTTTCTACATTTCAGAAATCTAAGCATCTTGAAACAAAAATCAATCAACTTTCTGTCATGGCTTGGGCCATTTACTTTTATTTTATGTGCTTGGGCTTATATTATTAGTGGGCTAGCCCAAATCCTTTAATTTTAGGGTGTTGTTTTGTTGTATATAGGATTTTATTGAAAATTTGGAATGGACGATGAATTGAGAAATTGAACTGTTGGCTTGCAACCGTGTTCTCCCTTCTCCCTTCCCTCTCCTTCTTGCGATTTCTTCTTCTTCTCCGGTTTTCTTCTGCTTCCGCTTTCTTTATCTGTTTCCTCATCTGTTTCCTCTTCTTATTTTCCCGTTTTCCCCTTCCCCATTCTATTTTTTCTTCATTTAACTGGTTAACACTCAACTGACTTCAACTGAGATTGATTTTCGGCAATAGGAGCTGAATTTGGAGTCCTATCGTGACAAATGGTATTAGAGCAGCTACAGGCGTTGGGTGTCTCTCGATTGGATAGCATAATGGAAGAAATCGATCGGAAGCATGAGCTACTGATTTCCATGATGACTGAAATTATTAAGGTTGAATCAGCCTCTATAGACCAGTCGAACCATTACCCAGAAATAGCCGAGTTTTCTAAAATGCAAACAGACGATTCCTGTTCTGAACCGGAAGATAAACTGGTAAAGCGGGTTAGTTCTTACGATTTCAACAGAGACAATGATTTAGTTGTTGTAGTTACCAAGTGAGTTGTTGAGACGAAAACTATGGTGGAGAGTAGTTTTGAAAAGTTGGAATTTGATTTAGGTGTTGAGAAGGATGAAGAAAATTTCAATGCAGAGAATGTAATAGTTCCGGGTAGTGATTATAAACAATTGAATGGCACTGATACTGATATGGATGAAACAAAATATAAGAACAAAAGGATAGAAAGGTTGGTTGTTAATTGGAGGTCTAGGAGTGTGATTTGTACACCAAGCCACCAAGGGATAGTAGTAAAGAGAATGATGCTCATGCTAGAGGTGAATTTAAGGGAAATTGTAGACTCCCTAAAATTGATTTCCCTCCATTTGAGGGAGAAGGACCTAGGGAATGGCTAAGGAAAACGATGAAATATTTCCAACTTCATCAAACTCCCGACGAACTTAGATTGGGAGTTGTAGAGATGCATTTGGAAGGGAAAGCTTATATATGGTTTTATGGATTCATTGCAAACCATCCTAGGGTGGATTGGAGTTTATTCTTTGAGGAACTTTGTAGGAGGTTTTCAGAAACGATAGGGGACGAAGTGGGGAAAGTGGGTGTTGAGGGTGAAAACTCGTGGCGTTTGTTATCAATTTTTTCAATGAATACCCTCTCATCAAGTTCGGATAGTGCAGTCTCTCGAATAATCAAACACCAGCTTTCATGCAAAGATGAAATTGAAGAGAGGACAAGCCATCGCAAGGCCATTTGTCTCTCATCAGTTCCCAATTAAATTAGAGAGAGGATGAGCTCGCTAAAAATCAGTCAGCAACTGAGGATTCTTTATAAACTGGAGTACAGGAAATTAATTTTAATACGTAGTTACATTGGAAGGCAAAACTTGGAAGGGATAACCTTGGATGGCACAACTGATATTTTTAAGTATGAAAAAGCCTTGAGGATATTTTTCGAGGCTAACATTTGGAGTAAATATGGGAAGCACTTTTGTTATGAGACAGATGGATGCCAATGTTTTAACATGGGTTCTGAGAAGACTCATCTCTATTCTTGTCACTTTTGTTGGAACAGAAGTTATCAGTTCAAGGATACATATTTGAACACAATCGGAACTTACCTACAAAGGGTATTGGGAGATGAAAATGTGTTGATTGTGAAATTTCTAGAAGAAGGCATGTGTGGCACTAACGAGGAAGGAATTCTTGTTGGTATGAGACATGTCCGATTTTTCGTATTCAAAGATGAGTGCAAAAGGAAGAAGAAAAATCCAATGAATGCAGAGGAAAAAGCTACTGAATGTGCTCTAAAATGCTAGTTTGTTCGTTTTCAGTCTTTGTACCCTTGTAGTGAGGATGAATCTTATATTTTGTCCAGTAAAAAGATTAGTGAAGCAAGGTTCTTATTTATTCACACACACATGGTCTTGACGATAGAAAAATATGTGGCCAGATTTTCCTTGATCCTGTAAAAGATTATAAAGCTTCAAGTTGGACTTTCTCGGCTGCTGGTAGAAAATACTGAAATGAAAGACGGAGTTCTTGTGCTAGAGGTTGATATTGGTAGGCTTTCAACTCCTATATATGTAATAAAGTATTTCAACAGGAACATTATGAATAAAGTGGCTGAGAGAAACCAACAAGATGAGATAAATGAGAAATATGTCATCTTGCACTATATGCTTAATCCAATGGTTGTGAAGAGAATGAGGCAGCTAACTTCATACAAAGAGGACATCCAAACCTTGAACCTTGAGGACAAGGTTAATTTAAGGGGGAAGGGATGTCATGGCTTGAGCCATTTACTTTTATTTTATGTGCTTGAACTTGTATTATTAGTGGGCTAGCCCAAAGCCTTTAATTTTAGGGTGTTGTTTTGTTGTATATAAGATTGTATTGAAAATTTGGGATGGACGATGAATTGAGAAATTGAACTGTTGGCTTGCAGCCGTGTTCTCCCCTCTTCCTCCCCGCTCATTCTTGCTATTTCTTCTCTAGTGCTATTTCTTCTTCTTCTCCTTCTCCGGTCTTCTTCTGCTTTTGCTTTCTCTGTTGTTTCTTTATCTGTTTCCTCTTTTTATTTTCTCGTTTTCCCCTTTCCCATTCTGTTTTTTCTTCATTTAACTGGTTAACACTCAGCTGACTTCAGCTGAGATTGATTTTCGGCAAGTTACGGTTAAGGAGGAGCTGAATTTGGAGTCCAACCGTGACACATTCCATTAAACTACTACTCCCTTAATCAGATTCTGTCGTTTTTTAACACTGAAAATCAAGAAATGAACCTAAATATCAGTTTGCTTTTATTGCATCTGAGCCATCAATCTTTACCCATATAATCACTTTTGCCCAATTTTACTAAACGAACACTTAAACATATCATGTACAGTGAAGAAGAAACCAGAAAAGGTCGGGATTTTACCAAGTTGTGGTCCCTCAACGTTGCTTCTTGAAAACCCCTTTCACACGTGGTCGGGGTGGGGCTTGGAGATGGTAACAGAGGTTCGGTATCGAGTCAGCCTTCCATGGAATTTCACCTTCGAAGCTTCAGTTGTTTCGAGTGTTTTTTGAGAAATGGGGATTCCAAATAACGATTTCAACGTTGAAAAAGGGAGTGGCGTGTTTGGTGCATCTGACCTAGCAATTCATGCTTCTGCTTGAATTATTTAGCGCCCAAGTGTGAAAGTCGTCTTCCATGCAGACAAATGTAGAGAAGGAATTTAGCCAGTTAGTGATAAAGTGCAACTTTACAAAGTTAAGCCAGTAATGTGGTGCAAGAAAAGAAAAAATAAACAACTAATTGCAATCATAGTCCTAAATTGTTCAAAATATTACATATAAGTCCTAAATTGTCCATCACCACCACTTTCACAACCCCGCCAAGTCGCCACCTATAGATCCACATAGCACCACCTTTTGGCCACCACATTCGTCGGATTCCACCACCACTAACCTCGTTTCACTCTTCCCAACATCCTCTCTCATAGTATTGGTCACAAAATATATTGAAAATAGCAACATTTGCAGCCTGAAATACCAAACTGCCGTATACAACCCTTCATGGCAACCCCACTTTAAGCGCCACCCATGGTCGCGCACCACCACCGACGATTATCCCTTGCCTCGACGAACCTATACATGGACTCACATCAATCAAACCTGCCTCAAATCATTCTACTGTAATCTAGACATTCGATAGTGGCGACATCCATTTTGCCAAACTCTTCTCCTTCAATTCATGCATCCCACAACACTAAATCCCCAAATTGGCATCAATCGAACCATTAACAAACCCAAACGACAATGGATATGAATCTAATTGAACTAATTATCCCCCCATCTGTTTCGATTTTTGGTCCAAAACTCTCCACTGGCGCGATGCATGGAGAGAGCCGTCGACCAAAATTGATGGGTCATAAGTGCTCAAATCTTCAGATTCGTGTGGGGGAGGACGGTGGGGGAGTGAAGCGAGGTTGGTGATGGTGGAGTCCGATTGCCGTTGTGCCTGAAAGGTGGTGCTATGTGGATCTATAGGTGGCATCTTGGTAGGTTGTGAAAGTGGTGGTGGTGGAGAATTTATGATTTTTTTGTAATTTTTTAAAAACTTAAGGACTATAGTTGCAGTTAGTTATTCATCTTTTTCTTTTTGTTCTATTTGAATAGGAGGGTAAAATTGTCTTTTATTGAAAATGGTTGAAAATGACATTTTGCGCAATGAAAGATGGAAGGTATGGATGAAAATGTAAAAAAATGAAAGGTATGGACATTTTGCACAATGACATTGAAAAGTAATCAAATTTTAATTTACAGCAAATAGGGGCTCAATTTTATGAAATTATATTATATTTCCCAAATTAAATTATTTTTCAAAAATCTGAAACGATACATATTTTTATGAGAGTCACATGCAAAATTAAGATCGACGGTTTGTATTATCGAGAACTAGAAACAATAATGAAATGTGGGGACTAAAGGTTATAGACTAACTTGTTATCTTGATAAAAAATTGGGGACCAATGGTATAATTTCTCACGGAGAGATGTACTTCCTTTTCCACGACGTCGTAATACAGTCGAATTCTGTCTTTCTCTGCATCGATTCCTCAATCACTGCTATTTACTATTCAGTGTCAACAATCAGCTGCCTCATAATAATCGACGCAATGCACAACAACAGCATTTCGATCCCGGTTTCTGAGTCCGATTCCGACGACCCCTCGGGTCGTACGCGGGTTCGGGTTCGCCGGAAGCGCAAGAAACAAGGTCCTCGTGGTAAGACCGACTTGACACGTTGGGTCATAACTAAACTCCTAAAATGGTGGCCAGTCCTGCTCTTCTTCCTTGCCGCTGCACTCCTCACTTACGAGGCCTCCAAAATCGCTGGAGGGAAGCCGCCGAGTTCACGAGTCAAGAAGTCGGAGGTGGCGACTCGGAATGGTGATAAGCCGCAGGGGAATTTGAACCGGCTCGATCCCACTACCCGTGTTGTTGGGGGTGTTAGAGAACGTGAGTGTTACTTGTACTTTGTTTTAGTACATATAAATTAAAACCATACCTATATGTGCAAATTGTGCATTTAGGTTTTTTATGTAATTTATGAATGATAGCTCAAACGCTAGCTTTCAAGTGTATATATGTAGATTATTGATTTTTGTCCTAAGATTGTGAGGTAACTTTCAGGGATTTGAAGTGATTATACTCGAGTTCTTGACTGTTGGATCTGATTTTGCATGATCTGTAACACATAGGTACATGTTCGTGTCTTGTCTTTACCGGCTGATTTATCTGTTGGGTTCAGTTGTCAATGCATAGTAGTCATTTTCCTCTTTTTACCTGATTTTCTAGCTACTTGATTTGCTTGCATTATATTAATCATGTATTAGTTGCATTTCGAGGGAAAACCTTGGGGAATTGTGCTGGGTTTTAATTGGAAAAGCTAGTTCTGGGTTTAGCTGATGCTTTACCACTTTCATAAATTCATTTATTTGAATCTTTACTGAATTGAATTTTGATAGCATTAAGTTCCTTTTTCTAAACTCATATACGTACTTGGCAGTTTCTTGCTATGCTGAGGGCTTTTAGCAAGGCTTTTTTCCCAATTGGGTATATCAATAACTTACTATAAGTCATTTTCCATAGTTTTCGTGCATTGCTTCTTCATATCGTGCTTAAAAATTTATTCTTGCTAATGGTGATTACATGGATCGTTCTCAGCAATAAGGTGCCTGTCATGGGCATGGTACTTGTGTTTCTGGCTTTTGCTTGTTGCATGTTTTTGTGTCTTATAGGAAATATTGTTAGTCTCATGGGCATCGAAGACATGGTAATGGCTCAAGGGTTTATCTTGAGGTCTTTTGTTTCAATCTACATCCTGCGAAAGGGACATCCCATCACTGATTCAGTGATTCTCGAAAAAAGGAAAGAAAAACTGTTGGCTGGTTAGCTTTTCTGTTTTTTATTTTTGAGCTCAAGGTGAAGACCTGATTTCTTTGTTAAGGCCGAAATTTGGGTAGTTTCGGATTTTTGCTGACAGTAATTTTTGTTTTGATGTCTAATAACATTCCTTCAAATACTTCATGTTCGTTTTGCTCTGATGCCATAATCACCATCAGCCAACCATCACTTAACATTCAAAATGTGATCAATTATCTGTATTGCAGTCAATGCAGAATGAGACTGTGTATTGATCAGGAGAAGTGTTTTTGGATTGTGAAAACAGGAAGACAAGGATGCTTTGCCGGTGTTTTTACTCTTAGCTGTAGTGTGGTTATTTTTTTTGGGAAAATAGTACCATTGGTAACCAACCTGTGCATGGTGTTCAAGTTAGTCCCCAACTTTTTTTCTTCCGGCTGTGGTGTGCCTAACATTTCAACTTTATAGCTAGCTAATCCCCCATATGGAAATTGTCCACTTTGCCAGATTTTCCTGTTGACTGTTATTGTGATAGCATCCATATTTGTGACAAAAATCTGCTCACTACATTATAAGAAGGAAAACTTTGGCTTTGGTTCTCTTTGTTTGCAATCAATTTGTCAATAATTGATAGTCTTGGATAGCGTGATCTTGTTGGAATTTGCCATCCGGTTTCAACAATTTAACTTACTGAATCAGTCTGTGTTCTTGGCATCTGATGTATTGCTCTTCACAAGTACATGGAGAGTTCAGTAATTTCCTACTATATTTTGTGAATCAAATAGGCTGTTTGAAGCTCCTTCCTCCTGAAGAACTTGAGCATTTAGATATTCCTATGGACAAAGAATCTGGTATTCCTATCAAGAAAGTGCTGTACATGACAGAGACTGAAAAACCCGTTGTAGAAGGGAACTATAACCTATCTAGACAGCATTTTGTTGGTACAAGGTTTAATTCGTTCACAGGAAACCAAACGCTTGAACAAAGAGAGCAAAGTTTTAAGGTAATAAGCTGCATCTTGCATGTTATCTCTTTAAGCCTAACACGAGATAGCTCGTTTAATCTGCTCCAGAAAGCATTGCCCACACTTCTGCCTGTTTGCTCACATATATTATGGTTGTTATCCTGATGCATTGAAATTTTATTTTATGAGGTTTATAATAATTTTCCAAATTAATGTTGTAGGCGACTGAAACTGCTGGAATCCACTGTGGTTTCTACAGTGACAAGGGAGGATTTAGGATTTCTGATGAAGACAAAAGCTACATGCAGACTTGCAAAGTTGTGGTTTCTACATGTGCATTTGGTGGTGGAGATGATCTTTATCAACCTATAGGAATGTCAGAGACATCACTTCAGAAGGTTATCTTCTATGATGCAAAAGGCTCATGGGCAATTATGTATGTTTTATTTTACTCAAACACGTGCTTATGGTATAAAGTTAATGCAGGTTTGCTATGTGGCATTTTGGGATGACATTACCCTTGCCGCTCAGGAAGAACAGGGACATAAAGTTGGTGAAAACCATTTTATAGGGAAGTGGCGCATTGTAATTGTCAAAGATCTACCTTTTACAGATCAACGATTGAATGGTAAAATCCCTAAGGTATGGAACTATTTGGTTTCTTGACTGCTCCCAAAAATCTGTATGGATAAAGGCAATCCAGCACAATTAATCCTATCCAAATTTGCCGGGAGAGTTTCTGGGCCTATGGTTTCATTGACACACATTAAACAATAATCATCATTCACAATCGGTGTACCATTTATGTATATGCCCTCATCTGCATGAGACAAGCTGCTGCAAATCGCTAATATGTAGAAATTCTTTATCTTAATTGGCGGCAATGACTATGTCTGATCAAGCATTACTGTATGGAATGGTGCAAACTAGCTACTTTTGCATTTTCTTTTGCTTTCTTGGTACATATCCGTTGGAATTGAACTTTATTAATTTTTGTATTTTTATAATAGCTTACGGAAAAATTGTGAAGGCTCTTAGAGATGGCAGATATTATGTTTTTATGTTCTTAAGAGCATGCTAATTTAAAAGTTACTTTTGAGGAACATTTTGTTTCCAAAAATTGTTTGGACATGATACCTTTTCTTACTTAAAGTAAAAAGGTTCCTTGTTCGAAAGTAACTCTTACCTTACTATCAACTTAAGTCACTTACTATTTTCCATCTTTAACCAATAAAAAGTTATTTATTCAGGACTTATTTACTCATAACTACGTTAATGCTCCAAGTTTTATAGCTCAAAATGTACATGAAATTTCATGTTTAATGTGTTTGTATAAAAGTATTATGTAATCTGTGGTAATTTATTCCACCATAACATGATTAAAATTAGAGGTTACACCCTAGAGTTTTTTCTTTTCATTCTAGAATTGGAAAAAGTTATCAAATCAGGCACTGGTCTCTCAGTTCAATCAAAATCTGATGATCGATTTGTTTGCTTTGTAGATTGAAAATCTCCTTGCAACTTGAGGGGTTGGATTAGTTAATATGTTAATGGAAGTTTGTTTTTTCGACCTACATGTCTCACAGTACCGTTTGGCATCCATGGTTTCGAGCTTTTGAATTGACAACTTGTTTAAAAGATATATCTCGTTGCCCTCTGAATCCTAGTCTGTTGTTTTTTATAGAATCATCATGAGCAACTCTACTAATAAATGAATCTGAAAGACATGTGACTTTTGCCAGGAAATATATAAATGGAAAGAGATAATTATATAGGTTGAAGGAGGCTACAAAATGTTATAATTTTGTGAACAGAGGTATCTGACAGATTAAAAGTTTTTGGTGTGAACTGAAACGTCATCGAGGTGCAAAGTCAGTTTTTGCATTTGACAAAGTCACTTTGCATTTTCAGTCATCTGAATTATGATGGCTGTCCATAATTTTAAGTCTCAGTTCTTGGATCTTATTTGTCATTTCAGTTGATCTTATCAGAGTGTACTAATTTGTATTATCAAATTAATGGAATGTAGATTTGCAGTTTAAAATCATCAAACAACCTATCCTAAATATATGTATCTTGCGATGTGACAAATTTCTGTCTATTTTCATCAGATGCTGGCCCATCGTCTTTTTGTTAATGCTAGATATTCCATCTGGGTTGATTCAAAGTCCCAATTTAGAAGGGACCCTTTGGGTGTGTTGGAAGCCTTACTTTGGCGTTCGAATTCAGAACTTGCAATTTCAGAACATGGAGCCCGCAGTAGTGTGTACGATGAGGCAAGGGCTGTTGTTAAGAAAAACAAGGCAACCCCAGAGGAAGTCGAGATCCAAATAAAACAGTATCACACGGATGGCCTCCCAGAGGACAAAAGATTTAACAGAAAGAAAGGTATGCTTGTGTTTTCACTTCTCTGCCATGTTAACATTAACAATGCCATGATATTTGTGATCACGGTAATGAAGAAATTAAAACCAAAGTCCCTTTAACTGATTAATCATCAAGAAGTTACACGTGCATGAATTAAACTCAGTAGTTACTTCATTTGGGAAAATTGCATGACTGGTCCCCAACATATTGATCAATTAGCGAACTAGTCGCCTACCTTCAAAAAAAGTGCAAGTTGGTCTCAACCTTTCTCTATAATTGGACATGGATCTGCCTACAACACAACACAGTCAAATCTTCGTTAAATTGGTGGCTCTTGTGGAAGCACTTTCACTTCAAATTTCTAGTCACGAGCCCGAGTTGGAAAGAAAACCCTAGATTCATACAGATATGTGAGGACTACAAGGCAATTTAACATAGATTTACGTGGTTTCTGTCATTGGGATTGATCGTGCAGGAGGTCTAACTTCTTTTTAAATGTTGGGAATCAGTGGTGCAATTTCCCCTACCTTGTTCTTGAAAAATTTATTCTGGGTTGGAAGGTGGTGGAACTGAAATTATTTTACACAACAGTCACTTCTCCATCCTTGTTAAGGGGATAACTCTTGCACATGTCTAAGCTTTATAAAGTGAATGATATATTCATATAAACACTACTGATTATTCTTCGCAGCTTTAGCTGAGGCTTCTATAATCGTGAGGAAGCATACGCCAACTACCAATTTGTTCATGTGCCTTTGGTTTAATGAGGTGGTTCGTTTTACTTCTCGTGATCAACTGAGTTTTCCTTTTGTTCTCTGGCGGCTCAAAGGATTAAGAAACATCAACTTGTTCCCCGTCTGCACTCGAAAAGACATTGTGAATAGCATGGGTCACATACGTAAGGCTAAGCCTCTAGTAAATTGATTCATTTTTTAGGCGCAGAATTTTTTTGTACATCTTTTGTTCTTTTTTGTCGGTGAAAGCAGCGTAACTTTTCAGTAGACCGTACATTCTGATTAAATGTTGTGTAATGTATTTGTTATGATCAAGTTTTTGAGGAATACTTAGGCTTAGAGGGTGGTCCCCCCTTCTCGTGTAAAAGCTATCAGATGTGAACACGCTGTGCTTTACGGGGAAGGATTGAACCATGGGAACAAATCTACAGGGTAACAGGGCTATCATCTTCTCTGGCCAGTTCTTATCTTTTCACAATTATAGTTCATTGCGTCCAGTGGTGAAAGCTTACCTTATTATTAGAGAAAGGCTTGGTCTATCAGATGTGAACACGCTGTGCTTTACGGGGAAGGATTGAACCATGGGAACATATCTACAGGTTAACAGGGCTATCATCTTCTCTGGCCAGTTCTTATCTTTTCACAATTATAGTTCATTGCGTCCAGTGGTGAAAGCTTACCTTATTATTAGAGAAAGGCTTGGCACCTAGTTTTGGAGTTTTCTCCCTAGACAGTAGATTACTGCTGAAAAATGGTAGGTTAGCACGGCTTGCTTTGCTCTTCAAGCTCTCCACCCCCTGACTCAACCTCTCTCTATGGAAAAGAGCCCTTTCTCCTTTTCATAGTAATAAGGTAAGTTTTCAAGCAGTTGGCTGATTTTTTAATTTTAGCTTGAGAAACAAAAATTATATGATGTGAGATTTTACGTGTACATCCCTCCAAAAAATTCTGTGAGGGTATTATGACACATTAGTACTTGCATTCTTTTCTTTTTGAATAATGCCTCTCTTACAGTTGTCTTCACATTAATTTTTACAGTTTTTTTTGTCATTTTATGAGTTAATTGTCTATTTTACCCTTATCTCTATATTTTAATTGTGTTCCGCATTTTACGCATTTTACCCATTTTACCCCCATAATTGGTATCAGAGC